TATGGAGGCTTGAAATAAGAGTCATTAATTTAACTAAGGCTCAGCATAAACATAGTGCAATCATAAAAAGAGTTAGAAAACATCAGACGAGTAGAATCTTTGAGAACTTGTGAAGGAGCTCTGTGAAAGGGTAGAACGCTTTTCACTTCAATATCAAAGCCTTTTCCAGCCAAGAGAAGGCTACCAAAGAAAGTGAGGCTAGTCCCTCCATAGAGTAAATTGATCTTTTGTTTTCCCAGTTCTCTTACTAGTTGGGATACAATATCAATATTTTGAGAAGAAGCTACAAGTTTAGAACCACCAAGAATACAAATGGTTTTTATTGATGGAAGAACTATTGTGACTTGAGAAGAAATAGGAGTCTCCATTTTGAGTAGAGAGATACTCAAATGGGGAAAGGATGGGTTATTTAAGGAAAGAGAATGAGTATTATAATGTTTGATTTCGGTAGAAGCAACAGACAGGGGAGCAGTTAAGCAATCAATGAGTTATATTTATCAAAAGAAATAAATACCTTTTAATAAGGGAGTTATCAGAGATAGCTGTTGCAAACAGGATCCTTACCAATAATGTTTTCGAGACTATAGCGGTTTTGTTCATCTTTGAAACAGACCCATAAAGACATATGCTCTTGATGCACATATCCACTGGGATGTGTATCGAGAATTTGTTGGAGGGTTTGATCCAGGGATTCCTTGTTCAAGCCATTCTTAATGAAAGCTATTTTATCTTCTCGATTTATGGACACAAACCCCAGCGATTTGCATCGCGTATCGCAATTCGATCGAGCACATTTATAGCAGCCACCTATTCGTTTAGCTCTACGTTTCCTGGAAAGAGTACCCATACCAGGCAGAAATTTATAAAAATTTGGAAATTTGCCAGAGAGTCGGACGTTTGCTTCAATCAACCATCAGAGATCATTTGGAATATTGTGGATCATTAGCACTCTCAATCTTTCCACTCGAGATCGATAAATCCTTTTTATGATATTAAAAGGAAGAAAGGAATATGATTTGCGAATATTTGAAAGTGCCAAATCCATTTGTTGTTTCAGACCATTGCTGAAGAAGACTGAAGGAGTAGCTTGCCGGTTTATAGAAGATCAAAGTATAAAAAGTAAGTTTCTGGAGATAGAGTTTGGCATTATTATATTCCTAATGTCAGAACATGCAGCCAGTATGCAATTAATGCAGCAGAAATCCGATATGAGATGTCGGTAATAATTGAAGAATGAATTATTGTGAAGTTAAGTTGTGTCGGTCAGAATTATGGAGGACAGAATAATTCACCTCGATATGTGAAATGTGGTATGATCAGTAATTGGGTAATTTATGCAGTGAAATAATTTCCAATCAGTTTTATTTGAGAAATATTGGATATATTAAAGTCAGAGGGATATAAGTGTTGATAGTAGTTTTTGATCAGAAGGTTTTCCGACTCAGAGGCAAGTTCAGTACAGTTGGTAATGCTAATGTATATGCAGGTGTTATTGACATTGTGGGTACATGCATGTAAATGTTCCGCACCCGAAGGGCCCCGGGTAGTGGGTACATCGCATGCAAAGTGCCACATAGTCATGTTCCGAGTCATAAGTGACAAGTCCAAAAGTGTTTGGCGTTACCGTAATGGAAGTTGATTGAGGAAATAGTCAAGTATGTAGCTTGGATTCAAGAAAGGTTCAAGACTGCTCATAAGTGGTAGAAGTTTTTAGTTGATAAGCATGGACGAGAAATGAATAAAGTTTTCTTAAAAGTTCGACCCATGAGAAGGTTATTCGTTTTGGGAGGAAAGGAAAGTTGCATCCTCGCTATATTGGTCCGTTCGAAGTTCTTGAATGAGTATGAGAAGTATCTTATCGATTAGCTTTACCTCCTGAGTTGGCAAGCGTGCATAATGTTTTTCATGTATCGATGTTACGTGCATATGTGTGCGATCCAGACCATGTACTTCAGCATAATGAGATACAAATTCAACCAGATTTGACTTACGAGGAGCGGCCTATAGCAGTATTGGACCGAAAGGTTCAAAAGCTCAGGAAATGAGATGTTCCCCTCGTTCGTATCAAATGGAATCGCCACGGAGATTCAGATGCCACTTGGGAGCAAGAAGCTGATATTAGAGCTCGATTTCCAGATTGAGTTTTGATGTCAGGTATGTTTTTAGTTTCAGTATTCAGTTTCAGTATTTCCGAGGGCGGAAATAGTTTTAAGGGGGATAGAATGTAATATCTCATTCAGTTATTAGTAATAAGTATCAGTTTATTTCCAAGATTGAGCTATTTTGAGGATTAAAAAGTTAAAATTTTAAAGTTTTAAAGTCACACGGGTCGTGTGGGTAGCCACAC